CCTATCCCTCGTGTGCCTTGCTCCCACGACTAAGGTAATTTAAACATCTATGTCTGTTATGTTACATATTTGCATTATGATCATGATAGGCTATCATGAATACTGTCTGGATAAAGGTGGTAAAGGTAGCAATGATTATTTATGTAGTTTGGCCTCTCGTCTTTCCTATATTTCTTGCTTAGTCAAATTTGTTATATGTCCCTCTTACAATAGAACAATGTGGATAGCTTCAAGTTTATTTCTAGGGCATGCCACATTCATGAAGACTTGAACCAGATCAATTGCAAATTCAACTTTCACCAATCAAGGAGAGAGTACTTGCATGATGCATTTGTTCATCTCCAATCTCATTTTTTTGTTGCTCTTGATCATCAGCAAAAACGATCTATAATGTTTTTCTGTCTCATTCAGCAATGCTCGTGGATTCTCTAAGTCTAGTGTTGTAATGGCTCTAATTTTTCACCCATAACTGATGCTCATAAGTAGTTGTTGAATGTCTTTAGCAGGAAACATATGATAAATTAGCATTTGCAATCATCTGACTCTTTTAGGAGAATGTCTTTTATTATAAAAAGTTAAAAATGCAATTTAGAGCGTAATTATACTTAAGAGACATATGGTAAATTTTAATCATAATGTATGTCCTCCTATGAAATACACTGGGATGTTTAGTGCTCTAGAACTTCTTCATCTAAACGATCAGTATAATAAAGTTAAAAATGCAATTTAGAGCATAATTATACTTAAGAGACATATGGTAAATTTCAATCATAATGCATGTCTTCCTATGAAATACACTGGGATGTTTAGTGCTCTAGAACTTCTTCATCTAAACGATCAGCTTCCCCATTCATACTATTTCTTAGTTTTTTATATCTAATGAGTAATGACTTGTTCTTGCCATGATTGCAATTATCTATGTTTGCGTCTCTCACACTTGGAATCTTTGTTTTCAAATTGTCCACTTCTTTTCACATGTTATTGTGCTCCCTTGCCTCTTAGGACTCTGTAACATATTAAGGTGAAAAATCTTTGAAAGTACACATTTTCTGAGATGTTTTAGAATGTGCAACCATATGATTTTTAAAGAAGACAAAAGAAATATTTTATTGACTTGCTATGGTCAAAGAATTAGCTTGAGATAAATTCCTCGTTGCCTGACATAAAGAGCAACAATCCCCCAATTTTTGCTTGATATGCGAGTGGGTTATCTCCTTTTCCACTACTATTTTGTAAAAGATTTGGGTTTGGCACTAGAGTCTTTTGACATATCACTTGCTGCTCTTTTTCTTCCATGCCTTTATGTTCTTCCAAGAACGTTGCATACTGTGTTTCCTTCAGATATTGTCTATTGGCAATCTTTTAGGGGATATAGGGGGGAGCGTAACAATCATATTTATAGGAATATGGCAGGGGAGAAGATTCGTAGGGAATTTTGATGAATCTTATCCTATGAGTGCTGATTACAGAGGACTTCAGAGGAGTGACCGTACATGATTTATTGAGGGAGTGGAAACTATTTTGGGTATTGAAGTTGTCAAGTTTTTGGAAATATGGATGTTTTTCCAAAGAATATCTCAAGCATAACTGGACAAAGTTTTTGTTGTTAATCAGCATCTTACCACCACGGGGGAATTAGTAGGGAATCAACTTGGATTTATGCAAAAAATGTTCTTGGTTGAATTGGTGTTATGCAAAGGACTTTCATGGATTCCATGGAGGTGAGAGGTTACAGCCCTCCTCAGTGGCATTAAGTTGTTCAGTGTTTCTTTATTCAACCATTCCTTAGTGGCATTAAGGTCTTCATTGTTTCTTTCTTCAACCATCTAATTGTGGAAGGAGAATGTGAACATGATGGATGTATTTAAGGAGACTATTGAGGTCTCTAATTTGCTGTTGATCTTGTATTCACCATGTTCACTGAGAAGGTGATTCTTTTTCAGATACCATAGCCTGTTTTGGGTCTATAGAGTGGATCTATATCTGAGGGTTCTCTTCCATTTTGTTAACTCTATTCTTATATTATGCTTATGATTTCCTGAGTGAGTAACAAAATTATGAAAATACTTAGAACACAAATTTAGAAATGGGTAATGGAAACAACTTATCAGGGTAAAAAAGCGAAAATAGATACCATAAGGCAATAATTTCCTGATTACGATATATCCTTAATAAACATCTTGCAAGTTGGTTGAAACAAACTATTACAGGGTGATGCTGGAAAAGAAATGCATGCAAGAATGATAAATGTTTCTAATTTTATTAAGAAAAGAGGATTTATGCAGGAATTAAAGAAATCCCAATAACACAGGAATTAAATTTTTCTTCTCCACACACAAAAGAGGGTTGAACTTAAGAGATCAAATATAATTTCTTGAACCATCAGTGTTATATTGTAAATAGATTTAAATATATCTATTCTTGAGTATAAAGCTATAAGCTTAATTGAGACCATTATGTTCTCCAGCTAAGTTTGCCTGAGTTACCAAAATATTTGAAATTGGACGGCTGCAATTTTGTACTAAACCTGACAGAAGTAGAAATTTGTGTAGCCTAATTGCAGCATGATTAGTTTACAAAGAGATTTAAGTTACAGATTATGAGTGTTTCCCAATTTGACGTACCATGACTCTTCTGGGTTGCTGATAGATCTTCTCTCTATTCAAACTTTCTTGCCCTACAAATTTCAAGACTTTGAAGTTGCAAATTATGCAAAAACTGAGCTTTGACAGTGAACAAGAATCATATTATTGCTTGGGTTCCCTAGAAATCTATCTGCAAAAGCTATGTAAGTCTCAATTGATGTTAAATTGTGCAGTCCTTCCAAGTTCCAACTCTTCAATTGATATGCATCTTTATGTAAAGAATGGCTACTGAGCAAAATACTCCTTATGGACTGGTAAATATGACTTCTGACATTTAGACATTACTATTACATAGATGTTGCTAGACTGTTCATGTGGAAGTGATGTTGATCGTTCTCTTATTTTGTTGCGAGGATAACTGCCAATGCACTGTGATCTATGTGAAGGGTTTTGGTTATAGTTAATTATATTTTAGTTTCAGAATTGAATTATATTCTTGTTCTCTGAAATCATATTTTTGTGATTTTGTCTGTTATATAGTTTTGGGACATTGATATGTCACCAGTTCCTAGTATCCACGCATTGTAATTTGGTTTTATTAGTGCAAGGAGCCTAAAATGAAACATGGTAAATTCAGTGGTTTATTTGCTAGAGATTCCACCATCCATTATATCCTGTGTTTTCTTTTGCTATTTACATGACTATTCTGTATCTAATGTATTGATGGACAGTGATGGAGGGTGAGTAGTCTCACCATCACAATCCATGACCAATGGATTACACATTTCGACTAGGGAATACTTTCCCTGATGTTTCTCACTTTTTATTTTCAATTGGTTCCAATAGAACTTTCTTTCTAATTTCAGGTAAGAGCACATTGGCGTGCTCATTAAGTAGACAGCTTCACTGCAGAGGGAAGCTTACTTATATACTTGATGGTGACAATGTTAGACATGGGCTGAACAAAGATCTTAGCTTTAAAGCAGAAGATCGAGCAGAAAATATACGCCGGATTGGTAAGTAATCTTGCCTGAATCTTATGTATGCCTAATTTAAATTTATATGCTCATTTATTGGAAACCCAATTACCAAATAAAGAGAAAAAAGAAATGTAAGTTACAAGCTTCCAATATTGGAAAAAAAAATTAAATTTTAGTACCGATTATCCGGTTTCAGGAGAAGTGGCGAAGCTCTTTGCAGATGCTGGTGTCATATGCATTGCTAGTCTTATCTCTCCTTATAGAAGAGATAGGGATGCATGTCGAGCCATGTTACCTGAAGGAACTTTTATTGAAGTTTGTTCTCTTCCTTTGACAACTGCTATGTTAGTTATTTTCTTCTTTTAACTTTTGAGTTCGTGAGATGGGTGAATGTGGATCTCTCTGTGTTCAGGTTTTCATGAATATGCCCCTGGAAGTATGTGAGGCAAGGGACTCAAAAGGCCTCTACAAGCTTGCACGTGCCGGAAAGATTAAAGGTGTTTCCTCTCTCTTGAGTTTGAATAAGATCACTTACAAAAAGGAAAAAGAGAGTTTGAAGAAATTTGAATAAGCTTTTTTTTCTTATTGGATATACTGAATAAGCTCAGAGTACACATCAAATAGATATTATCTCCTTGATGAATATAATGTCAGACATTGTCAATGGATCAAGTTTATCACCAGAGCTTGTTTGGATATGTTCAAGCTGACACTATGAAATGTAATGCACGATCTTTTTTTTTTCGATTACTTTGGTTCAACTGTTTAAGTGGTGTCTTACCATCCATTAGCAATTTCTACATGAGTATGCATCTTCTAATTTCCACATTCTTCTACAGGTTTTACAGGGATTGATGATCCATATGAACCACCGGTAAATTGTGAGGTAAGCCTTGCATAATTTTTTAAAATTTATGCATGTTCCGGTAAGCCTTGCATAATTTTGTAATTATTTTGCATGTTCCTCAAAGCTTGTGAAATTTCAAACTTGCAAGTAACTTAATAAAATTTTTAGCAAAAAGATTGGTTTTGGCATTTTCGCAGATTGTAGTGGAGCAAAAAGATGGAGTTTGCTCATCTCCAACTGCCATGGCAGAACAAGTCGTAGCGTATTTGGAAGACAATGGCTTTTTGCAAGCATAACTTCACTTAGTCCTGTCCACCAGCCAAATGACTGTCCACCAGCCAAAGGAGTTCTTTCTCCTTTACCAATTGATTTTTATTCCGTCTGTCAACTGCCAAGTCAAAGGAGTTCCATCTCCTTCACCAATTGATTTTTATTCCATCTGTCCACCGCCAAGCCAAAGGAGTTCTTTCTCCTTCACCAATTGATTTTTAGTTTGTCTGTCCACCGCCAAGCAAAAGGAGTTCAGCCAGTGAGTTCTTTCTCCTTACTGTAAATCACAAAATAAGCATGTGAATTCTTCTATATTCTAGTGGTCATGTTAGGCATTTGAATTTGTCTAGATTCTAGTGGCCATGTTGGGTTTATGTCATGAAAACTGCCGTATAATAATTGATGTTTGGGCCTCATTAGCAATAAATTGGGTCTCTATGAAGATTAAGGGAGATAACCTGTGAGTTTGGCTTCGTGTTTTCACATTTTGATTTTTGATTTTGATTTGATATTAATGGGTAAAAAAGAGAGGTTGGCCAGATTTGAAATGTAGGTGCTGAGATTTATGTATGTAGATGCTGAGGCTTATGTTTGGCAAGTGGTCATTTGTTATTGATGGTTGGATGGTGAAGGGATTCTAAGAGGAGTCACTATCCTGGTATCATTATTCCCTTTGTTTAAAATTCATTTGCTTGGAATCACTCATGGTGCTCATGGTGGTAGTTCTGTTATTGATGGTTGAAGTGGGTTTAAATCTTAATCCAAATTAGGGAAGTTTCTGAAATAAATATTTTTATTGATGGTTGGGTGGTTTTTGCTGGGTAAGGAAAGTGGGTTTAAATTTTAATCCAAATTAGGGAAGCTTCTGAAACATTTTTATAAATTTTAACTATGTCTTTCTTAGAAACCAGTAGAGAGCACGTTGTTTGCACCTGTGATCAAAACTATTGAACCTATGAAAATATGATTTAGATACAAAAATATAAAAAAGCTTATGGATAGGACAGCATGATTATCTTAAATAATCATTTTTTTTATAGTATCTCAAATCAATTAATAGTCGTAAATAATTTAAAAGCATAAAATATTGTAATTAAAAATATGAGTTTTTAAAGTTCAAAAAAGATTTATAAATTTTTATGCCACTTGGGTATTACACAATCTTTGACAAACTCATCTAATATGGTAACATATTAAAATAAAGTTGCATAAATAATTGTATTTAATAAATTTTGAACATTTATATACTTTTATTTTGTAAAGATATTTTTTATAATTAGGAGGGGTATTACATCATCTACATTGGGTATTACATCACCCACATAAAGCATATTAGTGGCATTTAATATTTTATGTAGGTAATGTTTTACCCCATATGAATGACATCATACCCTTCTTAATGATAAAAAATATGCATATTACAAAACAAAGTATATAAGTGTCCAAATTTGATGGAGTACAATTATAAAGAAAAGCTTTCTATGTTATCCCTACAACATAGAAGTTCTATTCTCTCCTAACTATCCAACTGTCCATTTTTTATCAAGAGAGTCATTCACGGTTTGATCTTAGATCCGATGTCTCAAAGTTATTTTTTTTTTTTAGTTTTTTAATACAATTTTTATGAATACAAAATTTGGTACGTGCCATCTTCTTATTGAGACGTAACTACAAAAAATATTAACAATAATTTTTGATAAAAATAATAACCAAAATACCCCTTAAAACTTTTAGGGGTATTTTGATCATTTTATTTTATCGAAAATATTTTTTTTTTTTATGTTTTTTGTTAGTGCGAGTTTAATAGAGGAATGGACGTACAAAATTTGGTATCAAAATAGTTTATAGAAAAAAATTAAAAATAAAATAATGCTGATCAATTTGAAGATATTTGGGCATCAAAACAACTTTTTCTAGTGAACTTTTTAATGTAGGGTCCAATTTGATTGTTTAAGCCTCAGCTGTATATAAACTTTTTCCTATTCGAATATCAGTTTATTTTCTGCTTATCAGTCTTTCAGCGTGTCAATTGCCAGCAGCTTTTACAGCCATGCATCCTTTCCTAGCGATTGTTACACTGCCCAATTCCAAGTGGCTTCTCCGATTTTTTACGGCAATCATTTTTTCCTAGAGAGAATAAATAAAACGCTGAGGTTGGTATCTCCCAATGAAGTGAGAGGCCAGAGGCAACGATCTCCCAGTGACAGTGAGTGGCCGAAGAAGTTACGCCGCCAGGATCACCAGTTGCAGTCTGACACATCACTGTTGAATTACAAGGAGGGCTCATAAAACTTTTCCTTTGAAATAATCATCGAAGTAAAGGAAAAGATTGCCTATAAGTTGGAGACAGACAGATAGGCCACTAAACCGGGCAAGCAATCCAACTAATAAGAAATTAGTGGGGTTGAATAGTAATAAATTGCTATAACATGGTCATCTTTCTAAATAATTTATTTACACAATAAGCCCTGTGTGGTTACGTGCATCAATATAAGTGTTCGTAAAATCGAATCGGAACGGTTAACCGAATATAAGCTTGAAAACGGTTTAATCAGCCTAACCTGTAAACCAACCGATTCAACCATTATAACCAAACAAGTCCCGAGCGATCAAAAAAGTGTTAGAAAAAAAAAAAAAAAAAAAACAAAAAAAATCTAATAAAATATAAAAAACATATAAAAAATAATTAAAACAAAACACATTCAAATGAAGTTGAAAATTAATAAAAAAAAAAAAATAGATTTTAACTCATTTTATATTTTCCGTTTTAAATTTTCTAAAAAAGATGGGAAAATATAAAAATATTAATGACCAAAACAATTTTTAATCTTTAACATACACATTACAAGTCAAATTCTTTATTTTTGAGAATTTATATACATTTTTTTTTAAAAAAAAAAAATACCGGTTGATCACCCTTACCGCCCAAAACCGGCCGGTTCCGATCTAACCGGGCGGTTAGCGGTTAGATCGGGCGATTTTACAAACAATGATCAATATGCAATTATTTGAATTAATCAGAAACTATTTAAATTAAACAGAATTTTGGCAAATTCGTGAGAACCCTGTAGGTTTTCTCGATCAAATCAAAAAACCCGTAGATACATAAATTGAAATTGATATACAATGTCCCATACAAAGTTTTTAAGGTTTTGCTTAGAGAGTTAATAATCTAACAACGTATGTTCTAATAAGATAGATTATTTCATATATTTTTGCAGGAACTTGCGGTGGAAATCATTCCTGATGGTGTCATTAATAAAGCGCTTGGGAGTCTTGGTTTCCCCACGGGTCTGATTTTTGAAGACAACATCATCATCCCACCTGAAATATCCATGCACCAATCATGGTTGTCATCAAATTGCAATTTCCTTTTCATCGAAGAAATTAAAGTCGATTATTCAGAATGTGAATGTGTGAATTAATGAATGCGTACCTCCTTTTGACATTGAAGGAAGTCGAATTGAGTAGTGGGTTGCCCCTAATAAGTTCTGCCTCTTTGGCTTTTAGCTCCTCTTCTTGCTTTTGCCGCTCCTGCAACACCAAAAAATCATGCAACTCATTCTCAATTGCAATCCAATGTCACGGCAAAATTTTTATAAGCAGACACCAATTTCAGAATGAAGGAACATTAGTACCAATAAATCTAAATTAACTCAGGAAGGACCAATTACAATTACACGCAGTGAAACAGTAACCGGTCTATCAGGCGGGAAAAAAAAAAAAAGGCCGCAAAGTAGTTCTATTTACCGTACTCAACATGAACACAATTTATGCAGTAGTTAAACTTAATACACCTCAGTATGAATTCAATTTATATAGCTGCGTCCATTTTAAACTTAATACACCCCGTATGAACTCAATTTATATAGCTGTGTCCATTTACATTTTGATAGTAATGGTTTTCCAATTTTATTCAATTAATACTTCGCTGTTTTATTAAAGATATTATCATGGACCATCGATATTCTTTCAAATGTTCGTTTAAAAAATCAAAGGTACAAGGATGGTTGACAGATTGAGATATTATTGAGAATTGTCTGATGGAAGACTATCCAAGATCAAGCACATTGTGAACAAAAGAATTTAAGTGCTGTAATTGGCAATTTTAGAATAAATTTCAACAAAATTCTACAATTGAATAAGCACCCTTAGAAGCCACAACCCACCATGCTCCTGCTCTAAACCCTTGGTTCCCCAGTTCAAACAAGGGATGTGTTAATTGACCTGTGCATGTTGGTCATTCATGCACACAAACACGTGCAAGCATGCACGTGCACACGCATGCATGCGCATGCACATGCACACGCACACATACATGCACGCTCACATACACAGTTCAGTGATTCTTATTCAGAATATGCACACAAACAAAGCTTGTTTATTCTTATGCAGCGCATGTATACTATTCCCAATAAACAAAAAAGATGAACTGTACACAAATTGACATACAACAAGAGTATACATAAACAATACAAATAAAAGAGAAAACTAAACAAATAAAAGAGAAGGATGCAGTATAGTAAGGTACTAATATATCACATTACATGATAATCCAGAGTATTTCACATTATATCAGTATACCAGGTGGCCAAAAAAATATCAAAAAATAGACGCAGATAATGTTGAAAGCACTAAGATATGACATTCCATGTGCAACGTGCCAACAGGGTCATACACCTAAAGTGAACAACATAGTTCCTAGTATAAGAGCCATAGATACCATTCATACCATTTTGACTGTTTGAAAAGTCGCCGAGTCGAACCGGACTCGCTCGATTTGACACGGGAATCGGCACCTCCATGCCGATTCCATCACAATATGCAAAATCACCCGTGTCTAGAGAGAACCGGGCGGTTCGTAGCGATAACTCGGCGAGTCGCTATAATGACACGGGGGATTTCAATGGTTAGGGGTAAAGTTTGAAATTTTTTTTAAAATTCAAGAGCATATTTGTCACCACACATCAGACGTGCATGGGTCTCAATCTTGCTAAGCAGCCTGCTAAGCACCCAACGTGATTATAAATGGCCCACTAAAAGGATTTATACAATGCAGACTTAGATTAAATCTTCGATGTGGGATAATTCCCACATGCACGCAAAATGATTATAATGTTTATACGGCAATTAAAAGCACACTATTATTAAGTGGTGTAGTTGGTTATGATTCTGAAAATCTTCTTGGACATCTCATCTTCGAGCCCCTTGGGCACCATCCAACTCCTGTTTTGTCCTCTACAAGGAAGAAAATATCTACAAGGAAGAAAATAAAGTAAAAGGAAAAAAATAAAAAATAAAAAGTTTTTACAAAAAAAAAAAACTCCTTTTTGTCCTCTACAAGGAAGAAAATAAAATAAAAGGAAAAAAACAAAAAATAAAAGGTTTTTACAAAAAAAAAAAAAGTGTAAAAGGAAGAAAATAAATTAAAAGGTAAAAATAAATAAATAAAAGGTTTTTCAAAAACAAAAAGTAATGCAATATTTTTTTATTTTCTTGTCAAAAAAACAAAAGGTACTACAACAAGTACTAAAAGGTAATATAACAAGTATTTCTTATCAAAAAATAAAATAAAAAGTATAAAAAAATAAAAGGTACCTTGGTAGATCATTTTCTTATTTTTGTTATCAAAAAAAATGGAAAGGTAATACAACAAGAAAAAAAAATGTAGCACATCTTATGTTTTTGGATTTGTTATTATTTGTATAATAAAATAATTATAAAATATAAACCAACAATTTCAATTTCAATATATAATATTATAGTTAATTAGGTTGTAATAATTTCGGATTTTTTTAGCTTATTAGAGTTTTCCACCAATTCGATATTTTAGTAGCCATTTTTTCATCGATTTAATTCACTCTTTATTATAGTCTATGTATGATTATATACTTTATCCATGATAATTCTATGATTTTTCTTTTGTATGATGCAAATTTAATGGTTAACATAAGTTCATATAGGAAAATAACATCTCAATATTCGCAAATTGATGAAAAAAATGAAAGTTAATAATGCAGTACCCCCATTTTTTACTGGATTCCTAAAAAACAACATTTATAATGAAATTTAATAATTTTTTTGGATTTTTTTTAAAGCTTAATCCGACCGATTTGGCCTATTCCCGATCCGGATCGCCGATTCACCGGTCCGGATGGGTTTTTGGAGTGCCCGATCAGGAGCACCGATCCGTTTTTTATACCACTGATTTTGACACAATATGAGTGACACTGAAATCTATGATAATGCACATACTCATGAATATGTACCTAGAAAGCGAGGGGAAGCCATAGGTGTGGTACCACATGCCAGGATTGTATATGTACCACAACACTCCCTGTGTTGCATTGTTAACTATAAACACCGCAGAACTTGCAAATGCGTGCACATCCAGTGTACAGGGAGTGATGTATATGTCTTATCTCTTATGTACGTATAATAAATGTAAATAATGGAATTATGCAAGCTCCATATCAGTAGAAGAAAGCATGCCCAAGGAAGACTTGAACATGGAAACAAGTCAAATGAAGGTAGCCCAACGGCAATCACATATATGACACAATCACACAATGACAAAGGTAGGCAATAGAATCAAGGTTTCAAAAAACGTTAGGCGGCCTGCCTGGCGCCCAGCGCCTAGGCGGGCGCCCTGCGGTGCAAATTCTTAGTTTTTATTTTTTTATATATTTGCTATCCAAATGCACATATATGCATATATTTGTGTCAAAATTTGTAATTTATTCCAAATTTTGAACCATACAAAACATTTAAAAGTCTAAAAGTCTAATAGGCTACTGTAAGGTCTCCAACTCTCGTATTCTTTATATTCCATATCCATAAAGTAAACCATAACAACATCCAAGTCTCTAACTCTCTAAGTCATCAACAAACTGACTTCCAAAACTATAAAAAACCAGTAAACCAAACAATGAAAATAATTTCAATCAGAAATACAATTTTTTCAATCCACAATAAGTACTTTCGATTCTCAGCAGTTGCCTTAGATTCTCATAAATAAGTTTAGGATTGAGGGTTTCTTGTTTTTTCTAAGTTTGGGGTTGAAAAATAAACCCCTAAACTTCTTTTATACAAACTTGCGGGTCAAAATGACCCCCTTTGCCCTTTTGGACGAAGTTAAAAAAAAAAACAAATTCGTAAACTGTGCTGGGCGCCCACTCAGGTACAGCCGCCCGTGTTGGGGCGCCCAGGTCAAGGCATGCAAAAAATGTTTTTTGGGTGCCTAGGCATTGTTGGGTGGTCCGTTTTTTTAAACATTGAATAGAATATGCATAACCTAGAGAGCTAAGAACTTGAATTGTGAATTAAATAATGCAGACTACCTCAATCATCATGATCAAACATCATCAGCAACTGGGTGCAACCAAAAGAATTTAAAAAAGGGGAAATTTTGTAGAATTACCATCACACAGAGAAAATATAAATCTAATTGATCAAAAGATTAGCAAAATATACCTTCCGTAATTTCTCTTCAGCTCTTTCTTTCTTTATTCGTTCAAGTTCTGCCAACAAAGCCTCAGTATCATCCTCATCATCATCCTCATCATCACTAATAGATGTCATAAAATTGAGTAGTTCAGCAAAACAATAAAAACTTGCAAGATAAAATACTAAGTGTGCACACATGCAGGCATATGGCACTAGTGCAAAGTAATGAAAACATGACAAATATTGGAACCTCAAAATAAATAAAGATTTAAATGTTTTCTGCTTTCCCTAATTAAACAGAGTGTTATCTAAAGTAAGACAATAATCCATAAATGTCCCTAGACCAAAAATGTAACAAGAGTTAAATTAGTCCCTAACCCAATCATATTATTCTACAAGACATGCAATGTATATATTATCATCATCATCATCATAGCCTTTTCCCAATTATTTGGGGTCGGCCACATTAATCCGGGTCCGTCAGTCACCTCTATTAAATGTCATGCCCTCAATGAGCCCACAAGTCCACATATCTTTACGGACTACTTCCAACCACGTCCTTTTGGACCTGCCCCTTGCACTTTTCAATCATTCCACTTGAACTAACTTGCACCTCCTAATAGGTGTTATACTAGGTCGGCGCCACACATGGCCAACTCACTGAAGTCTACTCTCTCTCATCTTATCGCCGCTTGGTGCCACACGTAAATTTTTCCAAATGAATTCATTTCGACTTTTATCCCTTCTTGTCTTGCCATTCATTCATCTCAACATCCTCATCCCCACCACACTCACTCTATGGGTATATTGTTTGGTCTGCACAACATTCTGCCCCATAGAACAAAGCTGGTCTCACAACTTTCCTATAGAACTTGCCCGGCGATCACATAAAATTCCAGCTGCACATCTCTAATTTTGTTTGCAACATCTTCCTCAATCTCTCCATTTTCCTACATTATCAACGCAAGATATCGAAAGTGCGGTCTTTTTGGTACCTCTTGACCGTCAATGTGTATATATATAGGGATTGTATAACAACACCATTGATCTCTATTACAAGTTAGGTCACAATTACTCGTAGCCATTAGATGTCAAATTGGCTGGCTTGGGTGTGTCACGAAGTTTGAAAAAATATTTTTGAATTTTAAATGTAGTCAATGACACTCTTACAACCACCAAATTTAAAATCTGACGGACAAGAGTGATTGTGACTTGTACCAGATTGTAAATGGTCTCTTCGTATTTTTCTTTTACATATATATATATATATATATATATATATATAAGATTCATAATAGTATCACTTACAACAATGGCTTGTACTTTCAATGCATTATTATCATTATAATTTTCCTAAATATATTATCACATTCAGGAGACAGTAAGAACAACTATGAATATTAATGAAGTGAAACATCAATACTCTTTTGATAGACTAGCAGGTGTTTGTATGGGAACCCCGCCCGCTTATCAATCTCAAAGAGTGTACATTAAGCACTAGACTCCGGTTTATAGTCCAGATGTGAGTGTGAGCACAACAGTCTCGACATGATGGGTTCTCTCTTCTCTTTTTCGACCAGTGTTTCAAAAAGTGCTAGGCAGCACCTAGGCGGTCGGGGGGGTTTATGCCGCCCAGTGCCTAGGCCGCCCAAAACCTGAGCGGTCTAGTAGAAATTTTGTTTTTGGGTTTTCTCTCTCTAAAATAGCCTTGAATGGGTTTTAGATTTCAAGTGAACCTAAAACCCACAATTTTTTCCCTTTAGTATTAAAAAAATGACCCAAAAATACCCTCAAGGACCCGCATTTCCGCCCCTAGGCGGGTTCAAGCAGGCGCCTAGGTGGGTTCCCGGGCGCCCAGGGATATCTGCCTAGTTTGGCCGGCCTGGGCGCCTAGGCGTTGGGCGGTCCGCTTTTTAAAACTATGTTTTCTACATCTCTTTATACTTGTATACTTTGCATTGAGTCCCAAAAAGGCCGGCTGCCTCCTCGATGGTGACCTCAACAGCTATTTCTTCTTCTTTCCCGCCCTCTTAATCTCTCCTCCCTCTTTTTATTTCCTACCTTAAAACCCTCCAAGCTATTATTTTCTCCTCCTCTATTCCCATCTTTCTTACCCTCTTGCCCCCTCCCCCCCTAACCCCCCTCTA